TATTATATAGATATATATTATTATAATTTAATATTCATATTTAATAATTAATTTTATAATTTTATTGCTTCAGTATGTTTTCATCAAAATTAAGAAACTATTAACTGTGTAGATTATCAAAAATTGCTATTTCTTTCGGTTATGCTTTATTATTATAATTTAATATTCATATTTAATAATTTTTAATTTAATTTTATTGCTTCAGTATGTTTTCATCAAAATTAAGAAACTATTAACTGTGTAGATTATCAAAAATTGCTATTTCTTTCACTCGCAAGGTTATGCTTATAATACTATTGTTTTTAGTTTTGAAAAAATGAAAAATGTTATTTCCTATAGGCTTATGTTGGATTTGTGGGATCTGATATTTATAAGAATAATCTATCCGCCATTGCAACGGGAAATTGGGGATGCGGAGCGTTTCGTGGAAACCCGAAGTTAAAAGTATTGATACAATTAATGGCTGCTGCAGTTGCAGGTCGATCTATGGTCTATTTTACTTTCGGAGACACATTGTTGAGAGACGATGTGGCAGCAATGTATGCACATTTAGTTCAGCACGATATTGATATAGGTATCAATTTTTAAATTTATTCAAAAGTATTAATATATATAAGATATTAAGATTTTATAGAATTATTTATATATAAATGTATATCTTTTTAGCGCGACTTTACTCAATGATATCAGAATATCATCAAGAATCTGCAGCATCAAGTGACCATTCGGATTTTTATTGTTTCTTGTACAACAAAAGCAGGATAAAACCGTTGAACAAATATTTTCCGACAAACAGTAAAAATTCCTTGGCGGATATTTTTGCCAAAGACATGTTATCTCAAAGAAGCAAAAATGTGGCATTAAATAAAGACGTTTTTAATAAGCATCTTTATGAAATGACGGAAGAGGAAAAGATAATAAATTGGCTGGCAAGTTGCGATGATGATAGCGACGATAATGCTAAACTCAATACAAAGAACGCGTGTAACGAGAAAACTAAGAGTAATCTAAAAGAAGCGAACAATGTTATTGAAAGTTTACATTTTGTAAATGATATTGGAGAAAACAAAAATCAGGAAGATAAGGTATTGTATAATAAGTTGAACAAAGATGTAAATCCTTCAAGTTTGAAAGAGTCGATTACTCAACATTCTGTTGAAACGTCAAAGAATATAAAATCTGAGTTCTCATTGGAATTATCAGAATTAAATGGCAGTGAATCTATTAAAATTTTAAGAGACTGTTCTATTTCGGAATCCCATAAACAAAAATCATTTTCAAGAAAGAGCAACCAAAGGACCGAAATATCGGACGATCGAGATACGTCAAAGAAGATCAAACCCGAATTATCGTTGGAATCGTCAGAATTAAATGGCAATGAATCTATTAAAATCTTAAAGGATTATTCCATTCCGGAATCGCATAAACAAAAATCACTTTCGAGAAAGAGCGGCCAAACAAAGATCTCGGACTTTTTCCAACGAATATCATGAATAATATCGAATAATTATTTTTTTAACACAATGCCAGTTTGCTCTTGCAGATTTTAATTGTAAACATTCTCTGTATATTCTGTAATCTTTAACCAAATCATAAAATGTAAATAAAATCTGTGTACAATGATTATTCGAATATATTAACATTTTTTTTTGTTTTATATCTCTTAATTTCAAAAAATATATGTCTCACTGTATCTATCGTTATATAAAATATTAGAAAATAAAGTATGTAATAATACATATAATTAGATAGATTTTTATAACGCGCTTTTAATGCAAAGGAAGTACAATTTGTATCATTTTTAATTGGATGATATTGTTCTTCCAAATAAATTGATAACGTTGATAAAAGTCGATAATGATTAGCCTCTTAATCTTCAATTATCATTTGCACGATGAGAAAGTTTCTTTTAAAAGTCGACTTTTAAAAAGCCTGTTCGGCGGTGATCGTGTAAAGAGTCACGTGACCGTTTATCGACGTATCGCGTTGACCGTGTAGGTCGAGTGAACTGTCAAATATACGAAGATGGCCGCCGCCGCTGAAATATTAAAGTCTCTCCCGCCGTAAGAATCGACATGATTTGCCGACAGAAAATGTAGAATTTTTCAAGCCGGAGACGCGTCTCAGGTAAATTCTAATCGCGTTATTGCAATTGACGTAAGCGGCCCGCGCGCGTCAATGATTATTTCGCGATTCGGATGACGCGGTTTCGTGGGCGGATTCACGATGTGTGTGAGTGTGTGCATGCGTGCGTGTATAGATCCGCGCCGCTGTGTGACATCTCGTCGGTCTGACGTTTTGAGAGAGCGGACGGACGTAAATATTGAGCCGGATGCTCGACGGACAGCGATGTCATCGATCTGTATGCATTGATTGTCGAGCGAATTGTCGACGAATGTTGCTCGATTCGATACCGAAGCTGTTGTTGGTTTTTCCGCGAAACCATCGTGCCATATTCACGCGCTTCTTCACGCTGCCCGATATGTTAACACTCGCAATGTTAGCACGACAAATGTTCGAACGTTTTTGCTGAACGATCATACGTTATTATTTCCACATGTAAAGAATATTTTACTTTTACCTAGTGTGTTTCTCTTATCAATTAGTATGAAATCGCGATCGCGAACGTATCTTTTCCGCCGTTTCATTCACGTCAAGTTGTGTGTGTATATGTGTTTCATTTTGCGTCGTTCCTTTTGGGCGCATTGACTTTTTCGTCAATTCGTTAAAATAGCTTGCTCGTATTGATCAAAGCTTTGTATTGATCAGCTATGTTGGAGTTTCAAGTTCATATTACTTTTGTCTCTTTACAAATTTTCTCACATACATATTAGTTAATAACAATAAAATTAAATTTGTTTTTATATTTTTAATTATTTTTAAACTTTTTATTTTTCTCTGCACACAGTAGTTTTGATATTTGAATATAATATGTTGCTAAAAGAGTTCAATTTTTTTTCTGTACGATAATATGCCACAGATTAGCTTATATCGTAATTAGACCAAGAAAATATTTTAGATCCTAAAATATTAAGGGTAAAAGACATCAGACAGAGTTGGAAGATAAACTATGAACTTTCTGTTTCACACACACAGCAAATTTCAAGTATGAACATAATGCGCAAATTACGAGGAGGTACCGGCGTTGGAGGCATGGGTTCGAGTGGTACTGGTGGTTTAGATGATTGCGCCGGAGGCACAAATCCTCAACACACTGCTCTGGGGCTTATGCACCTGAAAAAACTGTTCTCCGAATATACTCATCCACCACATCCCCTTTCTGATACTGAACGTGATGATAAATTGTATAACATGTTGCCATTATTTTGCAAGGTGAAATATATGTATAAGTAGAAATAAATGTTTTAATATAAATTATTCTAGTCTTATGAAATAGTATGTTGAATTGTTTTGCGATATTAAAATTATTCTTTTATTTAAAAAAAAAATATTTCTACATACATTTATCATTATATTATTTTCATTATCGGAAGCCATGTGATTATGTATATTTATATGTGCTTCTAGGTATTTGGATCTAGTCCATCGGGAGATATGAATGAAAAGTTCTGGGATATTTTGGCATTCACGCAACAAGTATCAAGACTTATGGTATCTGAAATCAGGAGAAGAGCAAGCAACCAGAGTACCGAGACAGCAAGTTGTGCTATTGTCAAGTTTTTAGAAATTGAGAATAGTGAAGAATCAAGTAATGGTTGGATGCTGTTGTCCGCATTGAATTTGTTGGCAGCAGGCGATACCTCTCTGATACAAGTAAATTGAGTTTCTTTAGCAGTTGATCATAGATACAGATATATTTCTACATAAAAGAACTTCTTTTGCATTATAAAATTATTTTTATAGGCCATGACTGCTGCCTCAGTTCCATCAACTTTGGTGAAATGTTTATACCTGTTCTTTGATCTACCCGAAATGAACGAGGAAGAGGCTGATATTACAGATACAAATAGTGAATTCACTCCTAGAGAACGTAGGATATTATTACAAAAAATATTTGTTCAGGTGATATATATCATATATTTCTTCATATTTTAGAACAGTATCATATCAAGGGATCATTTTTTTTCTTTTGACTGATTAATTTATTCTTTTGTACAAACACTTACAGTTGTTGGTAAGATTATGCAGTCATCCCTATCCAGCGGAAGAACTCGCTCGTAAGGACGATCTTACCTTACTGTTCTCAGCAATAACCAGTTGGTGTCCGCAGTACAATATTATGTGGCGTAAAAGTGCCGCCGAAGTTTTGATGACGCTGTCCCGACATGGTCTTACACAGAATGTAGTAGCTTATATTCATAGTAAGCTTAACATTTTACTCTACACTTGTTAAATCTTTGATTGCATGTAAAAGATTATTTATTTAATATTTTTTCTATCATTTTATCTTACAGATAAAGGATGTATAGCACTTTGTATCGATAATATGCAACGTGTACCTGAGCTGGCACCATTAGAGGTTGTAGAAATGTTTGTAACAGTGTTCTGTTTTTTAAAAGATTCTAGTGAAGTTTCTCAAACATTGCTAGATGACTTTCGTGCTTGTCAGGGTTATATCTTTTTATCCGAGTTTCTCTTAAAGTAAGTAAATGTTGTGTAATTATACGAAATAATGATGATAATAAAAGATTGATAAGTATTCGTAATAATATAATAAAAAAAAATTCCATATATAGACACGCACCATCAAGATTGGAACAAGATGGCAGAGCAGAAGCGCAAGATGCTATCCGAAATTTGGTACTAATGTTAGCATCTTTAACAATGTGTGGTCATACAGAACTGAAACCAAGTCAAGCTAGTATGGGATCCTTGTTTCAAATGCTCGGCTTTACCTTACCCCAACCCAGTAACAGAGGTAATTCTACAGAAAATAAAATGCTGTACATATTAAATGAAAATATACAACAGATACATTTTATATTGTATTGCAGGAGGAAGCGTTCGAAATATTCAAGCGTTCCAAGTATTACAATCTGTATTTATAAAATCTAATTCGCCGCTTCTATGTTGTACTATATTGGATGCGATATCCAGTGTATATCACAGCGACAACGCGAATTATTTTATTCTTGAGGGACAAAATACTTTGTCTCAGTTTGCAGAAAAAATTCATTTGAAGAATCCAGAGATACAAGAAAAATTCTTTCAATTACTGGAATTTATAGTTTTTCAACTTAATTTTGTTCCGTGTAAAGAACTCATATCTCTGTCCATTTTATTGAAAACAAACAACTCAATTTCTTGCTGTATCATGTGTATGGAGACTCTTCTTAATATACTTAGGTATGATACCTTGAAAAGCACAATTTAAGAAATTTTTCTCTGAAAATACATACACAAGTAAAATGTATCATATAATTTTAAATATAACCGTCCTTTTCAGACACAATACTATATTTAAAGACGTTTATAGAGAAGTTGGTATGTTAGAAGTTTTTGTGACTTGTCTTCATCGATATGCAACATTACTCAAGGATAAGCAAGCTGCGATCGATCAAGGATTAGGTAATTTTCGTTAAAGATGTTTATTATATCATATAATTTTATATATAAGTTTCGAAAATTCGTCATTGTTTTAGAATATACGTTATGCCCCGAGGATGAACGGTTGGGTGCCTTAGTAATGGAGGCTTTAACGACGTTATTAGCGAGTAACGTTCAAAATGCAAATGTCTTTAGAGAATGTGGAGGCGCACGTTGCGCTCATAATCTAGTGCCCTACGTAGATTGCCGGTATCAAGCACTCGGTATCGTTAGGGAATTGATACTCAGCGCGGGTGGTGACGACGACATGGCTACGCTATTGGGAGTTATGCATTCGGCACCTCCTAATGCCTTGATTCTAAAAACGCATATATTAAAAGTGAGCCTCGTATCATATTTATTTCTATATTGATTATAAATTTGTAAAGAGCTATTAACGAGCGATTACAATACTGTTTTCCAGTCGTTGCTAGCCTGTTTACGAGAGTCGCATAGGACTAGAACGGTTTTCCGAAAAGTCGGAGGCTTCGTTTATGTAATGTCGGTTTTGGTATCGCTGGAGAGTCAATTAGGTTCGCAAAGATCGGAAAAGAGCGAACCTTGCAACGATTTCGTGCAGAGGACTATGCAGGACGAAAGTCAATTGTTGACATTGTTACATGTAGTATTTCATACTATAAGTACAGCTATGCGATTTGAGCCAGCAAATGCGAAATTCTTCCATCATGAGGTATAAATTTAAGCCATATTATAATAATTATATAATTTATTGTGTAAAAATAATGCCAATTTTGCACAGATCTGCCAATCGAGTTTGTGCGATACTTTACGTCTTCTCGGTTGTTTTTCGACGCAAACAAAGATCACTGAGATGGATATGATACCGACTGTGAATTATCATAACATGCTAGTGTCATTATTTACTGGGAGTGTATTGGAACCGGTATTTTCAGATGATATGCCAAAGACATTGGGATATGCGTGTTTACTACTACGTCTACTGTATGACGTGGCACTCGATTCCTTTGACAAACCAAATTTAGCTAATGTAGGCATAAGATCTCCGAGTCATAAGCAAAATAGTGTGGAGGTATATTTTTTATCCAAGTATCAACATTTTAGTTTTGTGAAATTAATGCAATTAATGTTATAACTCTGCGTTTGCATTTTTCAGCAACAGAGATCATTTGATTCTCCTGGAAGTAGCAAGAGATGTATTATAAATTCCTTAAATCTAAGCCCACCCGCACCCGAGCCGATTGTAGTTCATCCCGGTATAGTAGTGGGAATGCTTCACTTACTTCCATCTATCTCCGAACCATCTAATCCTCAAATGGCGCTAGCTTTACAATTGTATGTGGCGGAGATCGTCAAGAGCTTAGTACGATCGGAAAGAAATCAGCAAGTTATGTGTGAAGCCGGTATGGCCGGAGAATTGTTGTCCGTGGGTAGAATCGCTTTGCAGGATGAGACACATCCGCTTCATCAACCTCTGCAATACATCATAGAGAGACTCGCCGCGCAATCGCTCGAACCAAGAGATCTACGGTGAGAAAAAAATACATTTAGAAGAAGAAAAGAAAGCTAGAAAAGATACATTTAAACTGTTTTACACATTGATAATTCACAATTTAATTCTTGCAGAGAGTTTTTACGTTTGGGTGATCCGTTATGTTGTATCTCGCTGGACGATATCGATCAAAGCAAGCCTAGAGGAGGACCAGTACCTTTAACGCGAATCAAGACGCTAGTATCGATGACAACGCCCAAGGACTTTAGAGCTCATGGTTCATGCACCTTACCGCCTTTTGTGGAATTGGATATGAGCGCCGAGGGATTCGCGTGTTTGTACTTGCCGAGTGTCGCCCCGCAAAGTACCACACCTCCTACAGTTGTCTCTGCGGACAATAGCGTATTGGGAGGAATTGGATCAGGTACGACATATTAATTATAATTATTATATATGTGCGATTTACTTTCACCGTTATATAATGAAGATAGTATAGTCGATTCTATCGTGAGTAATCGAATAATAAATATAACAAAAATGTGTGATCTATCGGGCAATAATAATGAAAAAACACGAAGCTTATTTTTGTAAATTGTACGCGTGTATATATAACGATTGCTATATTATGAAAAATTATTGTAGGCGATAGATTATTCCCACCACAGACCGGGTTAACGTATAGCACATGGATATGCGTCGACAAGTTTAGCGATCCTAGAACCGATCCTCATTGCGTGAGATTACTCACCTTGGTGCGTACTCCGCAATCTGCGAGAGACTTAATTTGTCTGACTGCTGTTCTTAGCGCTAGAGATAAGGCTATCATTGTTTCCACTCAGGAGACACCCATTCCGCAAAGTAAGTGTGTGTGTGTGTGTAATACTTCCTGAAAGCATGCGTTATAAAAATTAAGCGACATAATGCGCACAAATTAATACGCATTTTAGATACAGGTGAATGGGAGCCCGAAGGAACGGGCGAGTGCGGTGCCCGAGTCTGGTGTCCTGATTTACTTCACGAAGGACAATGGCATCACATAGCTATTGTGTTGAATCGCGCAGTTCTTAAAAACTCGAGTTTTTCATTATACTTAGACGGTCAACATATCCATAGTCAAAAGGTAACACACATTGAGATTCATTAATTTTCTAAATCTTATGTATATCTGTGTTTTTAGCTTCATTATATCACGCAAGTTCCTGGAGGTGGAGCAGCCAACTTAACAGTGGCTTCTCCGGTTTACGGCTACATTGGTACGCCGCCTTGTTGGCGTAGATATTCCAGATTGACGTGGAAACAAGGACCATGTCATTTGGTGGAGGAAGTTTTTAATTCTCAAAACATTGCCACTTTATTTAAACTAGGGCCGCATTACATGGGAAGCTTGCAAGCTCCGCAATTGAGTGGTATTGAATATGCGATGACGATATTTCCTATTGAAACATAATTTTACAAATAAAGAATATTAACATTATATGTTATTATACGCAGGCCCTGAAGCTCTAGGACCTCTCGTGGCTGAGGAAAAGGTGGTGTTTGGATTGAATGCAAAAGCCATGTCACAATTGACTCTAGCTAAAATTAGAAAGGTGTATAGCCGAGCTGATAATAAATCAATAGCCAAACAAGTATGAATATCTTTCAATTTTCTGTTTTTATTAAAGATAAAGAATAAAAGAGCGAAATTCAAAATTAAATTTTATATTAATATCTGATTACTTTGTCATTGTCAGCTTGGTATGTCATCCCATGAGAACGCCACACCTATCAGAGTTCTCCATAATTCCGCGGGACATCTCAGCGGTCCAGCTAGAGCATTAGGTGGTGTGGTCGTTGGTTACCTTGGTGTTCGTGTATTTAGTCCTAAACCAGTAGCTACTATGATCGATAATGTAGGAGGATGTTCAGTGTTGTTAGGTACGATTCCGAATTAAATGACGAACGATACCTATATGTATTGTAACAATGAGATGAGACTAAAAATGTAATCTTATAAATCTGTCTAAAAGGTTTAATAGCTATGGCCCAAGATGTAGAATCTTTATATGCAGCTGTAAAGGCATTAGTTTGCGTAGTGAGATCCAATCAAGCAGCCCAACAAGAAATGGATCGCAGAAGAGGATATCAGACTCTAGCTATGTTACTAAGAAGAAAGTGTCCTCTTCTAAACAGTCATATATTGCACTTGACATTCAGTCTTGTGGGGACGGTCGATAGTGGTAGAGAAACTAGTGCGATTCCTAATGTCACAGCATTTCAAGACCTCTTATGTGATTTACAAGTAAGTCTAGAAAAATTTTTATAATTGAATACACATGTAGAGCTATTTTATGATATTACGCGAACGAGAAAGCAGGCAAACAAGAGAAACGTTTAATTAGACAATTCTGATTTAACGAATTAATTTTTTTTATGAAAATTTGTATTGTGCTATGATAAATTGTGTTTAGGTCTGGCATGAAGCACCCGGAGAATTACTAAGATCTCTTCTCGAACATTTGTACGAACTGATAGCAGAGTCCAGTGAAAAACGAACTAATCTGCGATTAATGAGAGACTTACAATTAGTACATAAATTATTGCACATTTTGAGCGACGTAAAACTAAATAGCACCAGACAGATTCTTTTAGCGCTTCTTAGTATATTATTAAGTCAACCACGACAGGCTGATCTATTATGGTAAGCAGTTTTCTGTTTTTCATATATATATATATATACTTAAGTTAATTCTTTACAATTTTTATTTTTATTCAGGTTTGGGCAATTTATTGTAGCAACCTTACCGCAATGTTCTGAAAAACACTTAATTCTTAGAGAAGGAGAAGGAATCAAGGACGGAGAAGGAGAGAGTATACTTTTACGTAATCGTTGTTTACAGCTCTTACATTCATTGTTGTTTAATGGATCCAAAGTTAATGTAAAGTAAGAAAAATTATACAAAAAAAAATATATATATATATATGTCAGTGTGTATGTCAAGAATATATGTATCAAGTATAATTGCAATTGTGCTAATTTGCAGTATGTGCGAAGAAGTAGCCAAAGTTCTGGGCCTAGATTGGGTATTATTGTTCCTCCAGTCTGATCTTCATAGTACCACAGTTGTCTGGGGATTACGTATACTCGTGGCAATATGTTCAGTGCAATCAATTTTGCAAAAATTCAAAGAGGGCACAAGCAATGGCGGTTGGCTGCGGCATACTGATCACAACAAAATGGCACTAGCACTCGGTACATATATTAGCAATTCCTTTGTTTTTGCATATATAGATATTTTATAAATATTATTCGTGTATATACATACATTAATATAACACACATGTAGGTTGTCATCAACAAATGTCTACTGGTGAGATTAAGCCATCTGGCCTTCACGTACCAGGATTTCAGCATCTGGGCTGGTTACTTCCGCAGCACATCGATCTTGTCCCGGAACTTTATTTTCTTTTTATTGCTTTAATGATGGGACAGCCTGTGAAATTGTTACCTACGGATTCGAAGGTGAACATGGAGTTAATCACGCGTTTTTGTGTTGAAATGGTTAATATATAAAGAATAGTAATACTATGTATGTATTATTACAATTGTGCATCAGCTCGATTTGGATAATGTTTGGAGCTTTATGTTCGGAGTCCCGGCAAATCATACACTATCATCTTTCACCAGCAGAATTAATCTTTGTCCCGAAGCGATGGTCACGTTACTAGCTATGGTGCGAACAATGTTGAATAGTCACTCAAACAAGTGAGTTAATATGTTATATAATAAAGAATATTTTAATATGTATAATTATATATACATTATAATATATATTAATTTTTTTCACAGCCCGGAAGTATTACCAGCATGGTTAAATGACTATCCGGTGACAATAATACAATTCTTGTTCTTCCTTTATCGCAACTTTACCGACTTTATGCAGGTCTTTATGTCCGCGGAAGTTTTGGGTGCCTTAGCTGGGACCTTGTTTCCGAAACCTGTCAGTTCTAGTCAGGATAGCAGTGGTAATTATATATATATATATATACTTAAGTTAATTCTTTACAATTTTTATTTTTATTCAGGTTTGGGCAATTTATTGTAGCAACCTTACCGCAATGTTCTGAAAAACACTTAATTCTTAGAGAAGGAGAAGGAATCAAGGACGGAGAAGGAGAGAGTATACTTTTACGTAATCGTTGTTTACAGCTCTTACATTCATTGTTGTTTAATGGATCCAAAGTTAATGTAAAGTAAGAAAAATTATACAAAAAAAAATATATATATATATATATGTCAGTGTGTATGTCAAGAATATATGTATCAAGTATAATTGCAATTGTGCTAATTTGCAGTATGTGCGAAGAAGTAGCCAAAGTTCTGGGCCTAGATTGGGTATTATTGTTCCTCCAGTCTGATCTTCATAGTACCACAGTTGTCTGGGGATTACGTATACTCGTGGCAATATGTTCAGTGCAATCAATTTTGCAAAAATTCAAAGAGGGCACAAGCAATGGCGGTTGGCTGCGGCATACTGATCACAACAAAATGGCACTAGCACTCGGTACATATATTAGCAATTCCTTTGTTTTTGCATATATAGATATTTTATAAATATTATTCGTGTATATACATACATTAATATAACACACATGTAGGTTGTCATCAACAAATGTCTACTGGTGAGATTAAGCCATCTGGCCTTCACGTACCAGGATTTCAGCATCTGGGCTGGTTACTTCCGCAGCACATCGATCTTGTCCCGGAACTTTATTTTCTTTTTATTGCTTTAATGATGGGACAGCCTGTGAAATTGTTACCTACGGATTCGAAGGTGAACATGGAGTTAATCACGCGTTTTTGTGTTGAAATGGTTAATATATAAAGAATAGTAATACTATGTATGTATTATTACAATTGTGCATCAGCTCGATTTGGATAATGTTTGGAGCTTTATGTTCGGAGTCCCGGCAAATCATACACTATCATCTTTCACCAGCAGAATTAATCTTTGTCCCGAAGCGATGGTCACGTTACTAGCTATGGTGCGAACAATGTTGAATAGTCACTCAAACAAGTGAGTTAATATGTTATATAATAAAGAATATTTTAATATGTATAATTATATATACATTATAATATATATTAATTTTTTTCACAGCCCGGAAGTATTACCAGCATGGTTAAATGACTATCCGGTGACAATAATACAATTCTTGTTCTTCCTTTATCGCAACTTTACCGACTTTATGCAGGTCTTTATGTCCGCGGAAGTTTTGGGTGCCTTAGCTGGGACCTTGTTTCCGAAACCTGTCAGTTCTAGTCAGGATAGCAGTGGTGCTAGTACCCCAGCCGATGAGGTGATTATATTCTTTGTTCTACAAGATGTTCTCTCTGAAAAAAGATACTTTTAATTTTACGTATATAAAATTAAATATTATATAAGGATTGTTCGTATTACGGACACAATAGATATTTTTAAACACTTGCTATATAAACTTGTGAAATCAGAGAGCATCTTTGGGTATATACTTTGTAAAATTGACCGAAATATATTAACATTGATTAATTAATTATTGTAGCAAGAACCAGTATTAGTGAGATCGCCGTCGAAAGATGTAGGACTGACGAATCATCCCGCAAAGAAATTCGTGATGGACTTTTTTAAAGTTATCGTCGTCGATTCGCTTTCGCTGCCGGTGACGGCCAAATCGCCAGCGATAGATCTCGTTCTGGAAGCATGGCCGGAACATGCGTCGACGGGACAGCAAATGCGTTATCAAACAGAAGTATTATCTATATTAATGGAACACTTGCTAGCTGCGGATGTATTGATCGGAGAGCAGGCCGCATTACCTGTCGTTCCTGGTGGATCGGCCAACAATATAACCAACAATGTTTGTTACGTGGCAGCTAGAATAGTTGACAAATTATGGCAAGGTAATAGTCCCTATAATAGCCCTAAAAAAGATTAATAACGATTATTTAACTTCTCACAAAGGTGCTCTGACAAAAGACCCGCACGAAGTATTCGATTTTATCGTCAAATTAATCGGTCAAGCAAAGAGGCGACCTGGTGCTGTCAGCATGGAGGGCCTTCATCACTGCCTGAATAGGACAATTTTATTCTTACTGTCACGTGCGACTGATTCTATTGCCGATCAAATGGCTGTATTGGAGGCATTGCATAAGCTTACTACTCATAGGTATGTATACACACCTATTTTACATGTGTACTTTACTTTACATGTATACTTTTGTATAAAATGTACATTTTCAATTCTAAAATAGAGAAGAGTTAATCACATAAAAACGTATTTTTCTTAGATTATTAGTGTTTGGTGCTGGCAATCACGAATTAGAATTTATCGGCTGTTTGACGTATTGTCTGTTGCAACTGACGGCTGATATAAAGATCATGTTGGACACTAACATGAAAACTACGTGGCATGTTAATCCGCAAGTGGAATCCAGCGATGATAGACTGACGTCTCACCAGGGACACAATTTGATGGCCGTAGCGGCGACGAGAGTTTGGGAGGAACTCTACGTATGCAAGAAACCGGCCATAGAGGAAGTTTTTAAAATGACTCTGCCGGCTCCTGTGAGTAATGAACGCGCGCCGGAATTGTCGGTCGTGAGAGAACAGATTCACGAAGCTGCGTCCAAGCTCTGGCTAAATTACGTAGTTTCGGAAAGAAGAGCTACGTACAGAGCTCCTTGGGAACTTCACAATCAAATCCAATCGGTATGTCAAAGCTCTCAATATGCTGCATTATGTGAATATAAGTGTGTGGATTATTCTAGACATAAAAAGGTATCACGCAAAGTATACATTTGGAAAACCAGAGTGTCATGCATATATATATAAAATTGCAGAAAATCCAAAAAGTGACGGGAGGCTTGACGAGATTAGCGAGTCGGACAAAGGTGCGAAAAGAGGAATCTGTGCGCGTAAGACTTAGATTACATCAGAACACGGTTGCTCAGTGGACGGAGCAACATGTTGCGTTGGTCAGAGAGCTCGCTGCAGTGAGGCGTTTGCAGCATCAACAAACGAATCTGCACACTCAGCGTTACGTATATCAAGTAAGGAATACTATCTATTCCTATGTTTAGTAATTTTGTTGATAAAATAGGCTAAAAATAATTTTTAATTTGTTTTTAGGAATGGCTGCAAACCGAGACGGAATTGACTAGAGAACGCGGTCTTTGGGGACCTCCGACACCCACTATGCTTGACAAATGGATGTTGGATATGACAGAAGGACCATGTAGAATGCGAAAGAAGATGATGAAGAATGAACTCTTCTACATACATTATCCGTATCGGCCTGAATTAGAGCATCCTGATAATGTGAGTTGTATGCAAAAAATGCATTAGAAATGTAACAAAATTTAAATATAAGAGTGTATCTAATATATTGGCAGCCATAATACATTGATCTATTATCTATATTTAGAAACAGCTAAAGTACAAAGTAGCGACGAGCATGGATAGTAAGGAGTATTATCTGAAGCAACTCGGCAATTCATCGGGAATGTTTGAACGCGAACGAGATCCTGTTATAGATGACACACCGTTAAACGTCAATGAAACTTCTACTGAGAGTGAACCACCGATGGTTCCGTGCACGCTAGAACGTCACGCCAGTGAGCCGGATGAAGCGCCCGAGGATAACGAACAGGAGGAAGAAAACAATCAAGCTGTTCCAGACAATCAAACGTTATTACGTCTCCTCGAGGAACATGAGAAGGTTTTTGTTCTATACAATCGATATGATGCTAAAAATCGCAACATTTTTTTTTTATAATACTTCCATTTACATGTTTCAGATAAGCCACATGTTTAGATGCGCAAGAATACAAGGTTTGGACACGACTGAAGGTCTTCTCTTATTTGGAAAGGAACATTTTTATGTGATTGATGGATTTACATTGTTGAAGTCTAGAGAGATAAGAGATATAGAAAGTTTGCCAGAGGCATACGAACCGATCTTGCCATCGCCGGGATCTCCCAGAAGATCTAGAGCGATGAGACAGTGTTCCAAGTTTAATTACGAAGACATCAGGTATATATATTTTTAAAATAAGAATATATTTCTTTTTGCATAATACTTGAATAATAGATCAGTACCTGCACTATTTTGTTATTCACAGGGAAGTACACAAGAGACGATACTTATTGCAACCCATGGCACTGGAAGTGTTCAGCGGAGACGGTAGAAATTATTTACTGGCATTCCCTCGAAAGGTCAGGAACAAGGTCTATCAAAGATTCATGACATTTGCTACCGCGATCGCCGACAATGCTCAGCAATCCGTAGCTGGCCAAAGGCGAACGGCGAATGTCGAGCAGGCCACTGGCTTGCTCTCGAATCTTATAGGAGAAACATCAGTCACTCAAAGATGGGTGGTTAGTAATAATACACAAAATAAGTGAAAGGATATATACTTTTTATTAAGTATTGACGTACTTTTATGCGCATAGAGAGGAGAAATATCCAACTTTCAATACCTGATGCATTTGAATACTTTGGCGGGTCGTAGTTACAACGATCTTATGCAATATCCGATATTTCCATGGATCTTGGCTGATTACGACAGTGAGGAGCTCGATCTTATAGATTCATCGACGTTTCGAGATTTCAGCAAACCTATGGGCGCGCAAAGTCCTGAGCGATTGCTGCAATTTAAGAAAAGGTATGGAAAAAATATACGTGTATGTAACGATATACGTGATGAGAAACTTATTTTCCACATCGCGCAGATACAAGGAATGGGACGATCCGCACGGAGAGACTCCTCCTTATCATTATGGCACACATTATTCGTCAGCAATGATAGTATGTTCGTATCTGGTGAGAATGGAACCATTCACGCAACATTTTCTCAGATTACAGGTTTGTACATAAGTTTGCAGAAACGGTGATATGACAGCTTTATTTTTTACATATGTGATGATTGATATGACGTGACGTGTGATTGAAAATGTGGTTGTAGGGTGGACATTTCGATTTAGCCGATAGAATGTTCAATAGCATAAAGGAGGCGTGGTTATCTGCTTCCAAGCATAACATGGCAGACGTGAAAGAACTTATCCCGGAATTTTTTTACCTCCCGGAATTCCTTAACAATTCTAATCACTTTGATTTAGGTAAGTTAAGTCTCGTTGAGCGTGATATATTGTTTTTGTTTCTTTCTTACGTTTTCTCATGGTTATACGTGAATATTTTTCTCGCAGGCTCTAAACAAAGCGGTGTTCAACTCGGCGATATCGTTCTTCCACCTTGGGCGAAGCAAGATCCTCGCGAATTTATCCGTGTACATAGACTCGCGTTAGAATGCGATTATGTGTCGCAGCATCTTCATCAATGGATCGATCTAATATTCGGATGCAAGCAAAACGGTCCGGCGGCCGTCGAAGCTGTCAATGTATTCCATCATTTATTCTACGAAGGCAACGTCGATATCTACAAGTCAGTTTATACACGATTATAATTTTGCAGTTGTTATAATTTTCAAGATGTTATGTTTATCTCTTCTATCATTCACCTAAAATAAAAATTTTTTAATTAAAAAATTATTCTCATCTTAATTATAGCATTGATGATCCGTTGAAGAAGAACGCGACTATCGGTTTCATCAATAATTTCGGCCAAATACCTAAGCAATTATTCAAGAAGCCGCATCCGGCGAAGAAAATGACGCAGAGGACTAGTGTGATCGATCCTGGGCCCATTACTCCTGGATTAAGTATTACCACGTCCGACAAATTGTTCTTCCATAATCTTGATAATCTGAAACCATCGTTACAACCCATTAAAGGTTTGCATTTCTGATTTTCCGTTAATAAAGGCGCTATGTATTTAAAGTATTTCATGCAATTTACATTGTTTACAGAATTAAAGGGTCCCGTTGGACAAATATTGCACGTTGATAAAGCCGTGTTGGCGGTAGAACAAAACAAGACACTTATCCCTCCCGCTTATAACAAATACGTAGCATGGGGATTCGCTGATCATTCACTCAGAATAGGGAATTACGACAGTGATAAAGCTATCTTTGTCGGCGAGGCTTTGATGCAAAGCAGCGGGGAGATAGTAGCGTGCGTTTGTCCGTCTTCCAAATTGATAGTTACCGCTGGCACCAGCTCTGTAAGTCTTTCAAAAGAAACGAATTATTATGAACACGAGATAATTCTCTTCGCGACAATCTATAATTACGAGTTATGTTTCGGAACAAAGTTATACTAAAATTAAAAAATATAAGCATGCTACGTTCGGTATAGCTGTTCTAATAAAAATGGCGGTTCTTCACTCAAGACGTAAAAACTTGATATTCAAAACTATTTCTTTCTCTCCCTTATATTTTTTCAGTTTTAGTTATGCTCTAGTATACATATTAAATACGCATATCCGTCTAGGTCGTGACTGTCTGGGAATATGCCAAGCGACAACTTTCTATAAAACAGTGCCTGTACGGACATACCGATGCAGTCACGTGTTTATCGTCCAGTCCTGCGTATAATGTTATCGTGTCCGGATCGCGAGACGGTACAGCGATTATATGGGATTTATCCCGGTGCTTGTTTGTGCGTCAGCTTAGAGGACATGCTGGACCAGTTGCTGCAGTGGCCATAAATGAATTAACGGTATTTATATCATATATTTATATTGTGTGAATATATCAATCAAATTCCCAATAAATAAAATTGTGTAAATATAAAAAATAGATATATAGAGTGAACTTATTTATCTATTTTTAAAATTTTTTAAATATCTCTATAGGGAGACATAGCTACATGCGCAGCTACATGGTTACATGTATGGAGTATCAATGGGGAGGAGTTGGCGAGCGTTAATACATGTGTCGGCCGCGCCGACAGGATGCAACAGATATTATGCGTCGCTTTCAGTCAAACTCACGAATGGGATTCGCAGAATGTTATTATGACTGGCTCCACCGACGGCGTTGCTCGCGTAAGATAGATGCATCTATTTTTCTAAAATATTTTAGAGAGAGATATATATTTAAATACATTACAGATTATTTTAGATACATATATACCTGATACATATTTAATGAAACTTAATAAGAAATATTTGCGATATTAATAGACATCTGTGGTTTTGCAGATGTGGTCGATGGATTACGTGCAAGTACCTGCAGAAGAAGAGAAACCTGAAGAAGTAACGGTTGTCGAGAAAGAAAAGAACGAAAAACAAAGCACCGAGGAGAACCAAACTGAAACAACAATGAAGAGAGTTCAAGAATTGGTTAAACAAATGAGTATATCCGCCGAGGGATCAGGTACGTAATGTGTTACATGTATATTGATGAGAAAACATTTAAATTATAACAAATTCTCCCTTTTGCTGCAAGGTATACTTATGAAAAGCGGTTCTGAGAGTAGTCTCTCCGAGACAGAAAATGCCAAAGAAGCTTCCAGACTTCATGAGGAAAAAGAGGAATGCTCCGATAACGAATCAAGTAACGGCTCTAGTAATAAACCCTCGCCTCAGAATAATCACGCGTCTTTGGTAGTATTGCGTCGAAAGAGTCGCGGAAATCCGATGTTTAGGAAAAGCGAAGGCGGCGGACGTGCCGATAGCGAGGGCACACAAACTAGGTAACTCAATCTCGATAATCAAATACAAGGCAGTATAAATTCCATGTAATTGTAAGATATAACTCTATTGTATTTCATAGTGAATCTACCAGCAATCCGGGAGATTCGGAAGGAGCATTGAGGGCTAGCAAAAGCGATACCAGTTTGACCGACAGTTTCGTTATGGTTAGCGAGGCTGATACAAAGCCGCGAAAAATCAATCCGCAAAATATCTTGCGAGATGGTTTTAAATGGCAAAGACAGTTGGTATTCCGCAGTAAATTAACGATGCATACTGCCTACGATCGTAAGGATAATGCAGAACCGGCGTCTATCGCAGCTTTAGCGGTATCAAGGTATTTACAAAGTGTACATCATAACATTGAGATAAATCGGCGATCTTCTTACAATGAAGATTTTCATTACACTCTTATATATTGTTTCATCAAGTTAACACAAACTCAAAAATAATTCATGAAATACGAAACAAAAATATTTATAAACTTAAAATAAAATAAAAAATTAATATCATATTTTAATTTAGTATACAATTATATTAGTTCGAGTATATTTATGATTTCGATATGTAATTACATGTATATAATTTACATGAGAATGTGAAGTATGTTCACCTCATTGTGTGTTCTGATTTGTAGGGATCATAGAACAGTATATGTGGGTGACACTCGTGGCAGAGTATTTTCATGGAGCGTGTGTGAACAACCCGGACGCACGGTCGCCGATCATTGGCTGAAAGACGAAGGAGCGGATTCTTGCGTTGGTTGCGGCGTTCGATTCAATTTATATGAAAGAAGGCATCATTGTCGCAACTGTGGACAAGTATTCTGCTCCAGGTAAGTCTTAAGTAAATAGTAATTGTTTCGTTAAAAAAAAAAAAAAAGGAAAAGAAAATTTGGTGTGGTGCTTTGCATATTTAGCCGAGTTAATTACTTTTATATACAGATGCAGTCGATTCGAGTCGAAGATATCCAGACTTGGTATCTTAAAACCAGTTAGAGTCTGTCAGGGCTGTTATTCGTCATTACGGTCTCAGAGTAACTCCATCGAGAGTAATATTTAATATGGTACACAACACATGAGAGTCTTATCTTATATATAAATCGTTAAATTATACAGAAAATTATCTTAGCGGGTTGTAAATACTTGGGTGTACCTTATTAACCTTTTAGTTGAATTTCTCTGTACACAAACAGAAAAATGTGTGTGTATGTATGTACGTTCTATCCTATATGCAAACTGAACTACACGCAATGTACTGCATTTTTTAACGGATGAATTAATGTAATCGTAACTCGGTTTGTATCTGCATAAGTAAAGATTATTGCATTTTTATTTCGATGATTCTATTATTAAGATTTTATTGAGAAATAACAACAAAGTATGAATCATTTGCTAGATTACACATTCCTGTCGATTATGTTTCAAGTCATGCATAAACTAATTGAGTTTTTAAGAAACAAATTTTTCTAATACATTAAAATACTATATAATTTACACATATTTTTTAATTTTTCTTTTATTATCGACAGCTTTGTATAAGGTTGTATAATTTTTTCATTATATTTTAAATCAAATTATATTGAAATTAAAATACATGTATATGTTACCCATAAGATTAAGGGAAACATAAGATGTACTTTCCAAATTTATCCAATATAAACTCTTGTATGTGTACCTGTTGCATATTGTACTTTGCATGAATAGTGCATTATGCCAGGAAATGGTAATGTGCAAAATTTATACTATTTCTAATCAATGCATTCAGTAATGTTACCAATTACCATTAATCATGTAATATTATTATTATTTATAAAATTAAGAGTATATAATCTGTGATTTTATTTTTCTATATTTTAATTTAGCCAGAATGATCAATGGCTCTTGTAGATATTAATCGATTACTTTATTATATCGGTACTGTCATCCTAATCATTGCATTAAGTTATAAATGGAAGATATCATAACATAACGTTATATGTTAAAATTGAATATTGTTTGAATAGTGTTTGATTATAACTAAATTCATATTTATTTAAGACACGAAAAAAGTTAAGATATTACTGTGATTATTCTTTTGAGATGGATAAATTTTTTTTTCGTTTGTATGATAGATGAGACAATTCAATTTTTTATTTTATACATTTGTTATTCCATCGTACTAACCATCTCAAAGAGGATGGTAATTTGGAAAGTATCTCTTTCAGATATAACTATACAATTATTTTTCTTTCAAACAAGGAGTACGTTTCACTTTTCTATCGCATACAGTACATATATAAATACTATCTAAGGACTGTATTACGATTTAACAAAAAAGTATATTATTGCAATGTGTACTCCTGACCTTTTGTCCAAAGGCATAGAACTTTATAATAGACAATACCGTATCTATGTAACATTTATTATTAATTATAGGATATTTAAACAAAATCATAGACAAAATAATAAACCATAAGTAAAAATCACACCAGCTAATGTTTCTAACAGAGTGACAAATGTGGAATACAAATGATTATAAATCAATGTATCATGACTCTTGTGTATAGAAATAATTGTGTGGGATTGATTTTCAAGATATAATTTCCATGATATATTAAAGGCCCCTATATGTGAAAAGTTTAAGTAATTCGCGCCATTTAACGTATTATAGTACGGGTACCTCCTAAAAGCTTAAGTTTCTTACAATACTAAAAGCCAAATATTAACGAGAGACATTTGAAAAGTTTTACAAAAAATTTCGAGGCCGACTCTCAAATTGCAAAAATTATATCGCTGTTCAAACAATCGATTCCACCATTCGTATTCTCTCTAACAATATATCTCCACTTCCTTAAAAGCACAAATTTTATAAAAGACATAAGTTGAAGTGAATGAGATACAATTACAAGTTATAGGAAAATGTATTTCTACTGGATTTTTTTTAACATTGCGTTAATACAAATCGATACTATAAGCACAATGCTGTCAGGTATTCTTTGAACGAAAATGTATACAAGAGAGACAAGAAAGTTAAAGTACAATACAGAGAGATATGATGATATATGAAAGAATATTGGCACACTCAAATATATAAATTATACGCACGCGTCAAAATCATCCTCCTTCATGCATAAAAAATATCTATGCGTTCCTATGCATGTCAGTTCAATTTACACATCGTCAATTATTTATATATTGTTTTCTATTCGAATAAAAGATTTGCCGTTCTATAACTGGATTTTATAGAAAATCGGACGATAGATGTAACTTAACATATATTTTCTGAAAAATAGTTAAATATATGTGTTATTATTCTCTTTTAAAATAATATTCACGAAAAATTAATATCTGTTATTTTTTTAAAAGATATACCAAAAAGATTATAAACGTTTGAAGAAACTAAATATTTATTTAATTTAACTAAATTATAATTATTATATAACAGAGTATGCATATATATATATGTATGTATAATTTAAACCATAAATCATATAATGGCATTACCTTTTTATAGATTTAACTATGATTTCTAGTCATATATATATATACAAGATAAAGTTGTTTCCACTTGAAAAGATTTTACTTTTTATTATTTTATGGTGAAGAGTATTATTTATAATTATTGTATACAAATAGAATATATTATGCTGGGTACCCTATATAGATTTTTGGATACGGTTTATTATATAGTTTATCAGAAGAATAAGAGTATGATGCTCTTAAAAGACATTCTATATTGTATCGTTGTTATACTACCATGCAAATTATTTCCAAGTATAATACAATATGGCTTTAGCATATGTAAAAATTTATAGTAACTTATTATGGAGATTCGTTTAATATAAAAATGACATGTTATTTTTATTATTAGATTTTTAAAGATGTATATACTTGTGTTTTGATATACTTTATATATGATAGTATATATGTAGTATAACAACCATACAATTTCTCTCATAGAATGGCGATAAGTAATCGTTTCATTATACGATATTGTATTAGCAAATTATATATTTTCACAATATTTTTTTAAGTAGCATACAGAGAAAATTTTCATTAACGACACATGCGATGTCACTTCATTCATACTACATTGCTATCCACTAAGATGGATTTGATAGAATAATAAAAAAACTGTGCATTATACAGTTAGATTTCATTGTATATATAAAAATAGAATGAAAGAGAATCATCTAGATATTTATTGCTTAAAAAAATGTACGATAAGATAGAAAGACATATAGAGAGAAAGAGTAATATATGAATATCCTATATATTCATATATGAATATATAAAATATATTGTAATACCTGATATATGTGACGGATGTGTGTGTATGTGTGAACCTACGTGAATGTGTTTATGCGTCTGTATGCCAGTATAAATTTGCCACTCCTGCGCATAGGAATTATATGTATACATATATATACCAATCACACTATACATATATAAATATATGTAGCTAGAGCCGACTGTGTACCGTTAGTTGATATTCGTATAACATTGTATAGTATAGATTCTGATTGGTATAATTATATTGAACGGGCCAAAGCTATAAAAGAGAAATTGCGTCTTTATTTAACTAATAAGTGAAATATAATAATTTATTAAATGTCGCATGCGTAACTTTGGACACTGTACTAAATTGCAAGACCACTTTCTTTGACGCCACGTCGTTCTTTCATGTAAATCGAAAAAGATCACATTTTTAGAAATAATAATCGATTAATAATGTGTTTCTCTGTTTTGCGCGCATCTTACTTCTTTGCTTTATTATAAAATCAGCGTATGCGAGTAACAGAGACTCTAAAACACGTAAAACTAAATATAATATATATTAACATTAAGAAAGTCAATTCAATGTCTTGCCTTTCGACGGACTTTCCTCGAGAATGTAATCTCTTTACTGAAACTTTGGATAAAAATATGGAAATTCTACAGAATTGATACTTTCATTTATCTCTAGGAATAGTGGTCGAGATTATACTTACTGGCTCAAGTGCCGTGACACAACAAAGAGAGAACAAACAAATTCTAAAGACAGCAAATTATTGTATTTCATTAAGCCAAATATAAGACCATAACGTATTATATAATTTACGAGATAAGTATATTCTAAATGTATGTTGTTTTATAAAAAAAAAAAAAAAAAAAAAAAAAAAAAACATGCTATCCTTAAGAATTTTTTAAATATTGTAGGATATCTTTATTATTTTAGTTTTTTTGCGGTAAAAATGAATTTGTCTCATTCATTGTCTCATTCATTCCCCAATGATAGAAATGTCAGTTTTAATTTGCTGTGAAATCCCATTTCGATCAGACAGTAATATATCTTGACAATATCTTGAGTCAGTTGATGCAATGTCATTAATATATTAAGATTAATTATATATTCCATAGATGACCTTTGTTGTTTTTTCGGTTTGCTAGTTTTCTACAACAGTATTCTCTCGCATTCTGTAGCCGTCTATGTCTTCTGTATGTGCTGGAAAGCATTAATATTATGACTGTCTCGCGATTTTAGAGAAAGAGGATAATATTTGGTTCATTTTATTTTTTCATAACATTTTACCGAAATAATAATTACGATTGAACGGTTATTCTATGAAGGAGGTTTTTTGTTCAAAATTTTGCAATTAGATGCACTTTCAAAATAAAAAATAATATTTTTAAAATAAATTGATACCAATTCATAATGAATTAATAAGATTGTAGATATAGACATTGGATCTATTACGACAATCATCGATCAAATTTACCTGATTATAAAATACAATCATATGTATATACATATATACATACATGCAAACATCTCAATAACAATTCGATGAATAAACGACTACTTATACACGCCTCATAATCTGCAATAGCGTATGCAAAACATCGATGTTCAGACAAATCAGATTATTTATCAATACACAAATCGGGTGAACAATTGATTTTTTTCTGAACAAATTTATATATATTTATAGTTTTCCATCATAAAATTAACTTAAACAAAAAGAGAAAAAAATGAGAATACATACACGGAATATTTTTGCGACTCTTTTCCTTTCGTCGCTGTTTGAACCGTGATGATTAGATAAGGCTCCGGTTCATAGTACGTTTGAGATGCAAATTTCATAAGAGACCGGGATGATCGAGACCCAGCCTCAGTTAAAGCTCTGTATGCAGATATAACGGACGAAATCGCCAAGTTCTCCGTGATCTGCTGCATTGTGTATGTTACGGCATCCCGGATCGCTTCTCTCGCTATCGGTGAGAATCGCATTCACGACAAAAGTCATCCATCCAAAAGTACCCGAGATAGTACGAAAAAATTGATTCTTCACAAGGAAATTCATCTCTTCTATCTCGTATCATCTATATCTTTTTTTTCTTCGCTGAAATAACCAACCAGTTATTTCTTAAGATTTGAAGAGGTATGAGTCCTGGGTATAAGGATTTCTACAAATCGACTTGGCCCCTTTATTCATAAAATCCCTTTTTCTCCGAAAAGGGGTCTTTAAAGCGAAATCGGACGGAAGGAAAAAGATGCCTGCCTGCTCGAGCGAGAATCCCTCAACATTATGGTCAACCAGTCCGCCGATGTCGCGAAGTAACAGCGTGTCGCCATCGCTGGTACCCGATTCACCGTTGTCCACGTCGCCTCCTCGGATGTCGTCGCCCGTGTCCATGTTGAAACGTTCGACATCGAATGTATTCATTTCGACGTCCAACGCGCCGGCTAGCTTCTCTCGGGTGTCATCAACCTCGAGTTTGTCAACGGTGACTAACTCCCAGAGACGACAGCAGCAACATCAACAGCAGCAGCTGACGACCCATCAAGATCGGAGTAACATCGAGCGACAGAGCAGCTCTTTGCTGTCCTGGATCCTATCCTGGTACTTTGGTTTGTTGTCGAGCTTTTTTCGGGGTATCTTCAACACCATCGGTTACGTGATCTGGGCGCCCGCTCTATGGGCATCAGCCTGGGTCTGCCTGTTCTGGGTGATTCTGCAACTTCCGCTCACCGCTCTCAAATGGTTCATCACTGTGCTGCACACTCCGGCGTACGAGAGATCGCGCAATAAACGATGTGTGCTCATCAGTGGCGGTAACACGGTGCAAGCAGTACATCTGGCGCGTAACTTTTACAAGGCGGGCGCTCGGGTAGTGGTATGTGAACTCGACGGTCTTTTTTGCTTGGCTAGATTCTCCATCGCTTGTTCTAAATTTTACACGATACCGCGGCCCGGACCTGGCAATGTTGTCGAATATATAAAAGCATTGCGAGACATAGCTCAACGCGAGAGGGTAGCTTACTACATACCAGTAAGCGCCGCCAGTACCGCTTATTACGATGCGCTAGCGAAGCCGTATCTTGAGACCATGGGCTGCGAGTGCTTCGTGCCCGACGCCAGCGAGGTAACCGCGCTGGACGATCCATTAGAATTCCTGCGACGTTGTCGCCTGCTCGGTCTTCCGATTCCGCAGCACTTTCTGTTGCGATCGCAGCATGACCTGTTCGCGCTCTACGAGCGAAACGCGTTTCGTACCGGTAGGTACATGATGCTGGCCGCCGGTCCCGTCGGGATGCGCGACCGAGCCAAGATTTTGTTACCGCCTACCATTCAAGAGTTGAGAAACCAACGACAGAACGAGATCAGCGACAGGCGACCCTGGGTGGTAATCCATGATCCCGGCGATCATTTCATCACTTGCACCACGTTGAAGGAGTCGCGAATCGTGGCCAACGTGACATGCCGGGTGGACGAGGCTCGGGGTGGACTCATACCTGAGGAACGTCCCGAAATCATACGATGGCTTGAACGATTCTTTTCGCGTTCCTTTGGTGGCAGAATCAACGGTCATGTGAGTTTCCAGCTGGCGATGTCGGAGAAGACGGGCGAATTAGTCTCCATAGGTTGTCGCGTGGGCGTGGGTCTGCCCTACATCTGTCATACAGGAATACATCCACGCCTGGTGTGGAAACCCTGCCGGCATTTTTCCAGGCAGAACTCAACGGTTAGGTCGGCCACATTGGACAGGCAATCGCTGTCCGACGCCGTGACCAGCGTCCTCAAACAACCGGTGGCCGGGGACCAGACGGCGCCCCATCTCCTGGGCACGGTACTGGACAAGAAAGAGTCCCTCTTCGTATACTGGGATCCTTTACCCTATTGCGCCTATTATCATCTTCAATTGCCTTTCAGACGCGTCGCTGAAGCTATTAGATCGCAGCATAATCCACCCCTAGCGGTGGTACAATAGAGTTTTAACATTGAGCTTATATTAAACAGTGCTGAACAAGTGCGACAGAAGTTCTCTTCGTGTCTTAGAGATTCCCTGCGAATTGCGTCTGAATCTTTGCAGCATTTATCGTATCTCCGAGAAGAAATGAATGTGCCAAAGAGAGATCCGAGGACGAAAAAATCCCGGACGTGTCTGTACTTATTTTTTTGTGAATGATTGTGAAGAGTGTGATATTATTTATTGAAGAATGATATATTCGGGACGAAGCGATATCCATTTTTCCCACGCTCAAGTCTTATTGGCAGCAAAAAGCTACGTATTCCTTTATTACTTTACGCGCCGTTCTATAACATAAATGAATGGGTCTTTAACGATTATACATGATGCATATAGAGTATGAAAAAAAAGAGAGAGAGAGAGAGAATTTATTTGTTGTGTGCATGTATGCAAGTATATTCATTTCATTTATTGTGTGTGATTAACGCTTACCATAATATTATATAATATAATAATATTAATATCTTGCGAGTCAAGATAGAAAGAAGAGGGAGGATACGAAAATCAAAGAGTACTTGATAAGGCTCGTTCTCCAGACTCGTCAAAAAGAGAGCCGATGGAAAATTATTCGCGCTACCGGTAATCGCGTTCGTTTGACAATTTTAATAAAACGAGAAAGTTAAACGAGTTAAAAATAAAAGTGTAAAGGTCAAGTTCGGCTGTATCGGTTAAAAAGACGCAGTCGATTCTTCGTGTCACCATCAAACGCCTTTGCTCGATTGGAGAAACATATAAAGAAACACGATCGCGAGTATACGAATGAAAAAACACATGTGCAAATCGCGTGTTATCAATACTGATTATGCTAAACGGGAGACTTTCGCGCGATTAATATATGTTCCTATCTCTTTATAAACTTTCACAAAGAGCCGGTTAACTATAATTTCGTTTTGTTATATTTTACTATAATCGTGCTTGTAATCGAGAAAAAGAGTTCCTTTAGATTTGTCTCTGAAAGATTTCGTCTCTTTGATTTAATTTGATCGCAGAAACCGACTACCCGAAGAGAGCCAGCGAGAGAAAGAGAGAGACAGAATCACATTGGAACAGAGATAATATTCCATACTTTTAAAACGACCTACCGCCCATCGAAGCAGAAACGAGTCTGGAGAAATTAATATCTCTAAGATTTTCTACATCTACCGTATATTGAATTAAGATCGATCGCGCAGTTCTCGTAAATGTGTAATAGCGAAGGATGTTTGTACACAATCGCTAACAATATTATTTATAAGTTATTTTATATAGATCAATAAGAGCGAGATATAAATGTCGCTGTAATAAATATTTAATTGTTTGGTACATGTTTTGTAATAGCACCGCAATCGATAGTAATGGCTTAACCCTTTCGATATCGGTTTTTTCTTTTTTTTATATACGAAAAAATTATAGAATTATATCGGTATTTTTAATGCATTTTGGTTTCTTTACATTAAATTAGATTTAATGATTTTCATAATTGACACATATCTATCCATGAAATAATTAATGACAAAACAAATATTTCGTTATTTATTTTTTTCTTCATTCTCATAAAAGCTTTCAAATGTTACTTGAGTATATCGAAATGCGATATCGAAAGGATTAACAAGCAATCAAGGTTCGTCTGGATCGCTTAATCTTAATGTATTTCATCATGTAATTTTTGATTATTTGACTTTGTATTGTAAAGAATTCTTCGAGATATTTCGCGAAACAATCCATCTAATCTATATTATTCTCGATGATGAATACAATAAGCATCATCGGTCATTTTTCATTAATAAATGTTTAAAGAAATATTTATGTATGGTCAAGCCATACGCAATGTATATATTTTTAATATTCTTCTGGGGAAGATAAAGTGGGAAGGTAAAGTGCTTCGTTTCGTGATTTTGTGTCTTGTTAATTACATATTCTCAAACCATAATAATCATTGTAATAAATTTTGCAACTAATACATACAGATCTCCTGCTCTTCACTGATTTGTTAAATATAAAATATATTGTTCACATGAAGATCAATTAGGACCGATCATCAAAGTCTTGATACAAAGAAAACTACAAATACTAAAAATAAAAGTTTGCATAAACAATATTTAAAATCTTTTACTATTTGCAGCATTTTTATAATAAAAAATAATTTTCTAAAAACAAAGAGAGAGACCTCCGAGGTATTTGTCAAATCTTTAAGCATCTTCCGATCCGATATACTATATGACAAAGGAAGTAATGATTATGTATACATCATTGCGATCGTATCATTCGATCATTCGCTGGAAATCGCGTTCTTTGCTCGTACAATGTAATGTGCATACAGCGAGGGTGTCTCGCAAACGAATCGCTCGTTGGCTGGTGAAACTTGTAATCTTTTCGCGATGCGATGCACGCGCAATACTGTAAATAATGCCTCGTTTATAGATGGAAGAATGACCCGGGGGCAACATATGCTGACGGACTTTGGCAGCTTGGGATCACCAGTTCGTGAAAAAACAAAATAAGAGAGAGAAAAGGAAAGAAAATTATACAAAAAAAAAGAAAGAGAGAGAGAGAGAGAGAGAGAGAGAGAGAAATCTGTTCACCAGTATTGTCTTCCTTCTCCTTTTAAATTTTCCTCTTTTTTCTTCCAAATATATTGCACTCGACCGCTTTATTTGAGAAGATAAATATTCGCGTCAACATCGCTGAACAAGCAATTTTATCGTTAAATGAATTCTTAATTAATCATTTTCGTGTTCGACATAGATCCTTATTACGACTATTGCATTTAATTTAGTTTCTACAGCAATAAATAAATAATTTCACTTCATTATATTCATTGCTAGAGAAAAGTAATATTTTATGTTGCAATTTTTTCTTTTACTCGATTCTCCGATTTTTTACATTCAATATAATTGGAGTTATTATGAATATATGATTAAGAATATTTAAATTCAAGAATCGTATTAAAATAAAAGACCACTTTTTTGCCGATCCGTAAAAAATTTATGAATAAAAACATGGAAAGATAGTAAGTTAGCGGAAAACTTTGGCTTGATAAGACAGGATGTGCAAAAACTGTCTGGCGATAGTTTTATCGTGGATGATTCCTCCACGTGCCGCACATTAAAAATCATACTAACCGAGATGAAACCTTGCCAAGAACAATTGTGTATGTGTGTTATATATAGTAAACATTTAGCAAAGTTCAAGAAAGTTATTCCCGAATGGAAAGAAATTTTGACGGTAAAAAACAATTTTCTAAAGATGATGCCGCAATATGAGCCGCTTGTCAAAAATGAAGTAAATCTTAAACTCTTAAACTCTTGTCCTTTATCTAAGTAATAGTGTTTTAAATAAACTATTCATTTTTCGATAAGCTTGTAAGCGGTGACAGGAACACGAGTCGTTTGTATCTTTTTTCTTTTTTTGCTAATTGTGAGCAGGGACAAGAATCATCCGAGAGATTCGGACAACGACGGCAATAAAGTGTGTAACGTAACCTTATCATGCGATAATATTGAAATGCAGTTCCTTGACGACGGCTAGTAAAATAAATCGATATACACGCCGGTTCCCTTCTCTTATTTTTTACTCTCCTTCGGGAGAGACACGCGATAAGGGCGTCTATCTTTCTCCGTAGACCTGTGAGCGATCCATTGACGCAGTGATTCGCCAACGCTTCTGTGTCTGTTTCTATATTTGAGACTGAGAGTTATAAGTTCGATATAATATATAATGTATAATGATATGTTTTTGTCTTTGATAAAATAATAATAATTTCGACAAAATCAATCTCTCGCTGTAATGAATCGTAAAAGTAAAAGGACCTGAAAGTTATTAACTTAGTTTAGCGCCATGGAACAAGAAGTAAAGTCGTTTCCTTAGGCAATGAGTAAACCGCATGGTTCCAGGCACGGCATTGTGGGAACCGATTCACCTGGCTGGGCTGGTGGCATAGCGATGGTCTAGTTACCGCCAGCCACATACTCCTTGCTGCCATTCGCCGGTGGCAATAATATTTTACAACCCAATGCGCATCCTTTCTTCATGTCCAGAACGTTGCTCTTTTCACACCATCTAAAACCGAAAGAGATATTTAAGAGTTCTATACAAAATATGTGAATATCGATTATGATAGGCATTTTTATATATGCAGATTCACCAACTTTTGTTAAATCATGCAGCTATTGCAATATTATTTAAAATAATTTCAATAATTATATAATTATATTAATATATAATTCATATATACAACAGATAAATAATTCAATAATTAAATTTGATTGTATATTATTGTGCATGATATTCAACTGCAAATCTCTCCTCTTTCTCTCTTTTTATTCTTAGCTTTCTGAAGCTGATACCTTGCACAGTTTTACGAATTTGTCGAATAGATAAGGTTGAGAGTTTTACATAAACAGAATAAATATAATCAGGAGATGTGATACGGCTTGCACAAATGATATTTGTCGGCGGAGTCAGGCAACATTGATTTTGCGTGTTGTCGTTTAACATCATCGTTTCGACTGCAGTATCGTTTTTAGTCGCGTTCTTGGAAATACAAAGGAATTATCGGTCAGAAATAAAATACAATATCAATGGAAATTAAAAAACACCTCGTACTTGTCATTGTACATTCATCGACAACTTTTCTTCAAATATTTACAAATTTATGGAAGAAAGCGTTGCAATTGCGATATGAAAACTTTTCAAAATTCGTTGCAGTTTTATCGCAAGATTTATATTATTTTTATAAACCATAGCATTATTTTTATAAATTATAGAATTTCACCCGATGATTTATTTATGGATATTGCAATTCGAATCACGTGATAATTAAATAGTTTATTTAATTCTGAGGAAAGTTGCTTGAAAATTTGCAAACAGCATAGAATGTGCACAATCGAGATTTCTCTAACTCTAACTGGTCTAATCGACGTTTTGTGTACTCGCGGTTTTCGAGCTTAATCATTTCGAACGCTCGTCACGGAATTCATGATGCACACGCAAATTTGAATGTGTGTTACGTAATAGGGAGGAGACTCTCCTCATCCATATTCGTTCTCTCTTTTTCTCTTTCTATATCTCGCCTTAAAACAACGCGTCAAAGCAGCCTCGCACGATACCACCGTTGTATCTAATCTCCCCGGCATAACGTATGCAACGCGACGAATAAATATTGTACCCCCGAAGGGAATACTTTCGGTGTGGGTCGATGTATCGGCTATTAATATCGTTCGCTCCGGTTAGTGTTATTCGGAGTCTCCAGTCGCTCGACGATACAAACGCGCTGTCTTTCCCCGGAAATATCCGAAAAGATCGCACCGAGTAAAGAATATTTATTGTATATTTTCTATTTCAATAGTCGGTATCTCTTTATTTATTTATAATTGTCGTATTATCCTTTCTCGCGGCGAAGGAAATTGAGAGGAGACATGCGATTCCAATCGCCGATGATTTTCCTTCTCTGCGCTGTCTCGCTCGCGATCGCGCGACAAGTCGAGGACTGTCAAAAGGATGTCGACGACGACGAGCTGATCTGGGAGTATGACGTCAGAAGACCGCACCGAACCGGTGGTTATCAAGTGCGTTTTCGATTATCACAACGTATCCTTGTGGTCTTGTTGAATCGCTGAATTTTCTAACGTCGGATTTCAACTCTTTCTCTTTCTTGACATGTGTCAGCTATTGACAGTTGTATCGATCTATTCACGAATACATTTCTCGATTGTAACCAGGAAGTAGAGGCGGATTACGGTCCGACGGACGTGAGAATCACATGCATAAGATACAACTCGTTGTCTGATGAAGATAACAGCGCGATATGGATCACTTCCGGCGGAATCGGACACGATTTTGTCAAGCTAAAATTCAGATCGAAATATTCGCGAGGCCTTCACTACAGAGTCTTCGTTTACGGACAGCCAACTTTGAAAAGAAGTTCGCTATCTTGATGATTATTCTCTCAGAAATCTTCGTAAATCTCACCGTATTTAATCTCCTCTCTCACTCTTATTTTATAATTATAGATACATATTTAATCTGTTTGTGAATGTTTTATTTTTGTTTTAACATTGTTATAAGATATATATATTCGTGCAAAGAATTTAAAACTGTAATAGTGTATAACATGTATGTGTGTTTCATTGGGATCAAAATATCGTACAATTTTTTTTAAAGAAAACTTTTTATTAATACTAATATATGGTAAAACGATAATATGTATGAAAAGATTAAATGGCAAATAATAAAAAAAAAAAAATATTGTGAGAACGTTTTTATTTTGTCAGGATTCTCACTCCGCGTGTTAAGATATTTATTGTTAGAATATAAAGAAGTTATACTAAATCATAGAAAGAGACTTGTATCGCTACATCTTTTTAGCCGTCTTAATTGCTTTTTTTTTCTTTTTTTTATAATTAATATATAAAATAAATAAATATAATAAGTAAATAAGTGTGTCTTCTTCGGATTTAAGAGGATATAAGAAAAAAGAGAAACGAAAAGTAGAGGGAATATTATACAATGATATAAAACCATTTTTTTATGATAAATACACTTTTATGAATAAAGCATTGTGTTTACATAATGTGCACATAAATAAACGTTATGATAATTAAAAGAATACGTTGAGCTTTTTGATATCCTAATCATCAGTTATATTTATCATAAAGCAGATAAACTAGTCTCATAATAATACTTCGTATTTTCTTAATTTTACGCTGTGAAGTTTAATATTACATTCATAATTACACAAATTGCACCCATACACGTACACACACGTATAT